CTTGGGTTAGACCTAAGGTCCAGCATCTTGTATGAACACGTACTTAGTCAGACACAACACTTACGGAAAGTATGTAAGAAACAGGGCTTGTCTAGGCTTATCTGTCCTAATAGGGTTACCACTTTACGTGTTTGGCCATTCATCCACGTTTGTTTTACAGTATCCTCAATGGCACTTTCAAGTCCATATTCCCTATTGAATTCTCCCATTTGTCTTGGTTTTGGAAGGTGTCTGAGGGGGCAGTACCAGAACATTGCAGCTGGGAGGTTGGGGGGGGGCAGGGCGACCACTCAGGATTACCTGGTGCTAGCAGCCCCCCACAGCGTATTCCCTCAAGCTGTCTGGGAAGACACCACCCCACAACAGTGGCCTCAGGCCACTAGGACCAGCCCCACAAAACCCTGCAGCATTGCCCCTTAGTGCCCTTGCACTCTTAAGCATGATGTGCACCTCCACAACTAGGTGATACAAGCAGGGCCCAGGGCCTTCCTGTTTACAGGACATCAGCAGCATCAGCGCATCTATCAGAAGAGTAAACCTCTCATGTTGCAGAGGAACCCCTCACCCAAATCCATCTCAGAAAAGATTAAACATATGACCATTATTTCAGTCAGAGCCTGCTTTGTTCCCACAACAAATCAGCTCCTGCAACATGTCCCTGTTTTTAGGCTGTGCCTGACCTGCTGCTGCCAGAGCCCTTACCCTGACCCTGGCGGGGCACACTGAGGAGGGGATTGCAATGCAACCTGACTGTGCTGCACAGCCATCCTCAGGAGCTCCAGACAACACTGGTCAATTAAACTATGCTTTGATGACTGGACCCACATGCATTTTCGTACTGGGAATTATTTCTTCCCTTAGCAGCTAGCATTTCTGACAGTATCTAATATCTGATCAGGTGCATCCTCCTTCCTCTCATATCTACTGGGCCCATAGCCATGCCCAGATGTAATGTTTTTGTAATAGGTTACAGCTCAGTCAACAGTCAATGTTCATGAAAGTACAGGCACAACAGGAAAGAAAAGCCACACTGAAATGGTTTTAGGGTCCAAAATAATGCCTGTGTTTACACAGAGCCTGCTTCCCCTGCAAACCTACAACCTTGCTAGTCTACTGCTTCTCTTCCTTCCCTTTTCTCTACACAGCTACACAGAGCTGTCTTCTTCCTCTACCGCAGGCTTTCCAGCTTTTCCAGTTCAGAGTAGCCTAGATTATTTCAGGATAGCCCAGTTGTTCTTTGGGACAGGAATCAAAGAACACCTGTTTCACATCTCTGTGAGGGTGACTGAGCACTGGAACAGGTTGCCCAGAGAGGTTGTGGAGTCTCCTTCCCTGGAGATATTCAAAACCCACCTGGATGCGATCCCGTGCAATGTGCTCTAGATGACCCTGCTTGAGCAGGGGGATTGGACTAGATGACCTCCAGAGGTCCCTTCCAATCTTGGCCATTCTGTGATTCTGTGATCTCCTTTTCTATGCCCTAGCTTTCTGTCAATTTATACTTTAGCCTGACCTCTGCTCCAGGGCCTTCTATGTGTGTGGCATAGAGCACCTGGAGGTTGGATGGATGCTTGAAAGGTCCCACTGACATTGTTACACAGCTCATAGGGTAGCAGGTTGTAGGTAGCATGCCACTGGAAAATAACAGTTTTTGAGTCCTTGAAACCAAATGGCTGAAACAATTTATAGTATAGGCCTCTTTAATACATCAATGTACTGTAATACCCTAATGATACCATTTTTAGGGCAATTACTATGCAAATAATATTAGAACACCATTGCAGTCTTTTTTTATCTGTAAAATATAGTTTTGTTTCAATTTCTTGGGCTGAGAAGGGCAAAAATTTATTAATAAATCAAGAAATAAAAATGTAATGGATGCAATTCTCCAGTCTGCTATGATCCCATTTTTGTCTTGAAAGACAGATATACTCAAACATATTCAGATCATCCCATGGGATCATCTGGCCATTGTTCAGTTGCAAATTCCAGTGATTTCTATGGCAGTTATTCTAGGACATCATAATAAACTATAATATTAAACATAAACTATATTATTAAACAGGCTATACCAAGTGACTTAATTTAAGTATGGTTCTTTATCAGTGGCTTTACATGTGACTGGTTCAGTCTATGGAAAAAGATGTTAACAGCTGTCTCTAAGGACTAACAGACCTGGAACTTTCAAAAGAACTGTCACTGAGCAGAAAGTGACATCAAATATCCAAAATGTGAAATACTGGAAGGATAACTTAATCAAAAAATCTGAAATAGTTCTAAGAAGGGAAAGCAGATGAAGAGAGAACAAACTATTAAGTAGCCTGCCAACAAAAGTCAGAAATGGTAATAACAGCATAGATATGATCTCAGATATTCACTCTAGCTCTTTTTTAGCATATGTGAAATCTATTGCTATACAATAAGTATCTGGCTACTCTGGCCAATAGATGATGCTTTATATTACTTGTGGATCTGGTATGTGACTACCTCCTCCCTCTTCACACCTGCATTCTTCTTAATATCATGCAGTTTATTTCTGATAGTATAGATCATGCATTTATAGAATGAAAACTTTCAGTCCTAGTAAAAGCTGTACATATTTATAGGGTGCTACAGTGCAGCCAAATTTTGTTCCATTTCACAGAATTACAGAATGGTTGGGGTTGGAAGGGACCTCCGGAGATCATCTAGTCCAACCCCCGTGCTCAAACAGGATCACCAAGAGCAGGTTGCCCATGACCCTGCCCAGAGGGCTCTAGAATATCTCCAAGGATGGAGAGTCCACAACCTCTGTGGACAAACTGATGGTGTTCAAACAGCTACAGCTTTTGGATTTATCTAGTTGGGTGAGAATCCAGGCTTTTATTTAAAACCAATCAAAAATAAATGGCCCAAAGTTTTTAATGTTCATAGGTGTGCAGTGGCTTTTGTGTGTTACTTAAGAGTGCAATAAAGATTAAAAATCCACCAAACAAAAAAAAATTTCACTTTTTTAATGTTATGTTTCCTGTTTTAAGCTCATCTTCTGCTTTTGGAGTGCCATGCCCATGACTTTGAACACATGCAATTAGTTCTTTTGACTTAAGAGCATAATGATTGTGACATTAATCAAACATTCAGGACACAGAGCTTGATTCTCCATTCAGCTACCCAGGCAGGAAGAGCCCTGGGCTGTACAACCTGCTGGCAGTGCTCATGGGAGGACAGGTTGCTTTTAGTCAAAAAAAAAAGAGGAGGGGATAGCAGTCACTCACCTATATTTTACAAGGGCAAAGCATGCGTTTCCCCATCCCTTCGCAACTTGTCCAATGCCATGGATGTGGAGAGTGCTCTTTCCACGCGATTCACAGGCAGGCACTGAGGGCTGGCCAGGGCAGGGCGGTGCGGGAAGCTGGGGCCGCCCGATGAGG